AATTCGTATTTAATTCGGAATCGTATTGTCGATCAAATTTCCTTTTATGGTAATACGACCACATGTATGGTTAATACATATAAGAGTTGTGTCCTGCTTGGCATTTATGCCTCTAGATTTGACAGCCTATATTAATTGAATCTGAAACTGGAGTATCTACTAGAAGATTAAGAATTTATGAGATCCTTAAGGAGTTGCACCCTATTTGGCTACAAAAGCCCCTAAATTTGATAGCTTAAAACCAACCAGTAATCAAAACTGAAGTATTTATTAGAAAATATATATATAGTCTCTCTATCACTTGATGCAGATGTAAAAAGATATAATGTAATAAGTAACTTAGGAAAATAGTTAACGGTATCTACTGCTCTTATACAAAATTGAACTGATAGGTTGAATGATTTATAAATTAATAGTAGGATTTCCATTCCCTAGATAGGTCCCTTCCAAAAAATATGAATCCACTTTATAAATGTTAATAGTATCGCTGGGGCAATAAAAGTAAATAAATTAGTATTTAACTATTGTAATAGTAATAGATAATATTTGATATAATGTAAAAATTAATAATTAAGTCAATAAAAATCTGTATTTAATGCCATTCTACTATATAAAAAAATATTTATATAATATTGAATTTTTATGAAATTTTTTTAATACAAGAAAATTTAATTTTAAAAAAATCCAAAAAATTTTTTACTTATTTTTCAATCACTTTTTATATACTATATATAAAAATAAGTCAAAAATTTTTTATTATAAATTTTTGATTAAAAATATTTTTTAAAAAATATTTTATTTTAAAAAATACCAATATATTGATTAAAACAGTACTAAGTAAAGTTATTTTATAAGATATTTATTATATGTTTATAAATTTTTATAAATTTTTATATAAATTATTTATTAAGTTATAATTAAAAATATAATTGTCATTTTTTTTGTACCATACTGTAAATATTATTATTAAAGTTGTCTATATAAAGTTTATAATTAATTCTTTATAATTAATATCTTTTTTATATTATTATTTATTTTTAATAGGTTTTGTTTTTTATTAATATTATTAAAAATTCTAAATATTGTCAGTTTGATTCATAGTAATTATTTTTTAAAAAAATTATACTTTTTTAATTATTATATTGTTTGATATAATTTTTTTTATAAATTTCATATTACTTTTTTTTATTATTATTTCTTTTGATTATTAATTTTTTTATATTATTATTATTAAATATTATATTAACTTCTTTGTATTTATTTGTATAATGTTTTTTTTTATAAATATATAAATCTTTTATATCAATTGAATTCTTACTCTTATAAATATTTTTTTTTGTTTGATATTAAATAATTTCTTATTATATATTTTGTTCTTAAAATTTAAAATATTTAACTGTACTATTCAGAATATTTTGTTCTTTTTTCCTATCTTTTATATTTGATTATAATTATATTATCATTATGTTTTTATTATTTTTTGAATATTATATTTAATATATTATAATTTTTCATATAAAATTATTTATTTTATTTTCAATTTTAGATTTCATTTTTATTTATATTTTGGATATTTGAAGTATAAGTTTCAAGATTAAGATTGCTATTATAGTTGAAGAAAAAAGGATTTTAATCTTTTATATAATAATTAAGATAATAAAAATAATTTTAAAGATTTCAAATCAATTTGTATTAAGTTTTATTGTATTAATTATACTTGATATAAGTTTTTAAAAAGAAAAAAATTAAAAGTAATTGCAAAGTTAAAAAATATATTTTTAAAATAATAATTGCTAAAAGTTTTTGAATATTATATGGTAGCTATTATTTATAAATTGCACAGTTCAAAATTTCAAATATAGATCACCATGTGATTTTTATAATAAATCATATAACTATATATTTTTAATTATATATATATATATGCATCAACTTATTTCACTTATTACTCCCTACCTTATATTATTTATTAGCCTAGTAATATCTACTGATTCTGATAATAGAAATAGTTATGTTCACAACTCAACAAAGATAATCTTAAAATCCTCTATAATGAAAAGATCACTGGTCATACATTCCTCAAATTTATCAAGGACAAAATGAGTTGAAGAGAAGGTCTGCAATGATTCTTGTAAAGTTTGCTAAAGAAATTAAGAAGAAAAAATTAAGGGTATTTTTATTATACCACAGTCTAAAAGAAGTGTTAATAAAATATAATCCTAATAGTAATGGTCATACATGTGGTCGTATTACTATAAAAGGAAATTTGATCGACAATACGATTCCGAATTAAATACGAATTCCAATTA